TGCAGGCGCTGTATGCGTCCTGCGCATGCGTGGAAGCACAGAACTCATCAAAACCGGGTAAGGAGCGCGGGCGGGCGGGCCTTTGCCGTTCCCGGAAGTTACTTACTTCCGGGTTCGCTGACCAACCGGTTCGCAGGGACCGCCGCGAACCGGTTGAAACCCACCCCTGCTTCTGTTGCTCTAAGGCAGGGTGTCCAGTGGACTGAATGAGTCACATGCTGGCCATGCCCAGCCCCATTTTAGCAAAGGAGAAAAAAGCTACAATACGGCACATGATGACAACATGACACCATGAGTTTGACACCCCTGCTCTAAGGGGTTATATCCAAACAGGTGAATTCAGATAACAAAAATAGGATCTAGGTTAAAGCTGAGAAAGACGTTCCTGGTGGCATAAAGCATCTCTGAACCATCTTCCAATGATTCTTAACAAGGTAATGACAGAATCCTCCCTTGGAAGGGGAACTCAAAGCTTTAGATGCAGGAAGGCCTCTGAAGTTGATCTCAGTGAATGGATAGGTTTGTAGGAATAAGTAGCCCTTCATATAGTCTAAGCATCAGCGTTTTAAAGATCACCACCATTATTTTGAGTGGGTATCTAAAATCAATGTGGAAGCCAATTCAATCAAATGTTCTCTATGCACCACCCACAGCAGAATTGAGGTGTTGTAATCTCTATACATTTAGAGAAAGCCCCTTTCTTTGACAATATTCAAAGGAACAGAACCCAAATGTTCCTGAAGCCAACTTCTAGCTAAGGAAGACACTCCATTAGCCCTCAAATACTGCACCGGGATCATCTTTTAACTGGCGTTTACTGCTAATCGCAGCTCTGCTAATTATTTTGCCTCTCCTGATATACTTCTACTTTTCAGCTTTGTACGGGCCTGCGGATTCCTGCCAAGGACGGTGTAATGAAAAATATGACAAGAAAGATGAGTGCCACTGTGATGATAAATGTGAACAAAAGCAGAACTGTTGCGGAGATTACCACATCCACTGCAGAACAGGTAAACCATTCTCTGATCAAGCTTGACTAAGTGGATGTCACAACTATATCTTAGTTGTCCTGAAATCAGAATGCACATTGCCTTTCCCTCACATATTAAACTTTTCAATCTAGACACAGACTTGGTATAGTGGTTGTTTCCCATCTTACTACTCACCAGTCTGACCTACCGATCTTTTTTTTTTAATTAGCCAGGATTAGCAGCAGACTGTCCTCTATTTAACACACACACACAGACACACACACACGAAAAGTGACTGTCTTCATGCATAACCATATTCTCCAAATTTGTGTAGATTTAACAAGTGATAAGATAAATGTTCTATAATAATTCCTTGTTTCAAAAAGTTAAGGTCATATATAAAACACTCTATTGTCAAATTGGAGACACCTAATCTGGAATAGAGAGTTGATATGTTGCTTCTTGTTGCTGCAGGCTGTTTTGTTTTCAGCCAAAGAAAGCATGTAGGCCTAAGGCTAAGCCAATGGAAGAAGGGAGTTTACTAAGCTATTTAAACCAGGTCCCATCTTTTGTCAATTTAAGACTCCATTTTCCAGGATGGACTCTGGGTTGCATGTCTGAAGCCTCACAATCCAGGAAGACACCCCTTCACCCCCAAATCTCAGAAGTCCAAGCCATATGGCCTCTGTACATTTTTCCCACTTTGGTTAAATCCCAAGGGAAGACTTCAGGAGATCACTCCTCCCACGGGACTTTTTCAGTAGCAGCATTGTTGGTCTTGCTGCAAAATTTATTTCTTCCTGTTATGTCCATCCCTAAATCAACGAGATGTTGTCTTTGAGGATGCAAAGAAAACAAGACATTGAAGTGTCAAGAGGGCTGTGACCCCAATAAGGAACAACTAGCAATTCATGGTCTTTTCAGTACCAAGCAAAGCAATTTTGATTTTTGAACCAATTTACACCCTGAATTTGCAAGATAGTATTGTTACATGCTTTGGATGTGAGCAGTTATTTGTGTGTTTTATTCTTTTAGCAGTATGTATTTAAATTAACATGTTATGATCAGTGGTGGGTTTCCATTCTTTTTACTACTGGTTCGCTCATGCGCACAGTGCTTCTGCGCATGCGCAGAAGTGTCCGGGCAGGTCAGCGGAGCCTTCCACCGCCTCCACTACCGGTTCGCCCGATCTGGGCCGTACCGTGAGTAACCCACCTGTGGTTATGATATTATATTTTAAGTGCTTGGGATTTCATCGTCTGATTTTAATCTATTGTAAACCTCCCTAGGAAAACCTGAAAGTAACATTTAATTTTTTAAAAAATAAATAAATAAATATGGAGTTCAAAAAGTTCTCTATTGGGAATCAATAAATTGGAAAGTGTGGAAAATATTCCTCCAGATGAGATGCAAAAATCCAAAATGGATAAGTGGAAGTTGCTGCCGTCTTTCCCACGCTGATAATCATCCACCCGTTTTGGCAAAAAGGCCATATCTATAGAAATAAATGACAAGTTTTATGCTTTTCTGTAACCAGAAAATTAATGCCCGATTTCTTCCTTCTTTAACAGGTACTACAGATGGCAAAGAAAAGGGCAAGTATCGGCACCTTCTCTTCTTTATATGAAACGGGCAATGAAAATTGCTAACTGCTTAAGCCACAGGGCTTTGGAGGAGCTAATGAAGGCAGGAGTGAGCTGATTGGGTAGGAGCTCCTAACATGAAGGAATTCATAGCCAATTATGAGCCGAGGTGGCGCAGTGGTTAAATGCAGCACTGCAGGCTACTTCAGCTGACTGCAGTTCTGCAGTTCGGCTGTTCAAATCTCAC